TATCATCACCATTATGCTGTCCCTGAAAGGCACAGAGAGTTAGCAACATGGATCTTACTGTATATGTTTATCACCTAATTACTCAATGCATTAACAGCAACAACTTTGCCAGTAAGACAAAATATCATGTAATTATTGTTTGTTAATGTTGCAGGCTTATAAAACAATTTAGTCATGGTTTCAGTTGGAAAATCTAGAGAAGTCAAGTAGGACACAGAGTAAAAACCATTGCTCCACGTGAACTCAACAAGAAACCTTCTGTGTCTCACCTGTAACTTAACATGTTTGTTTTGGTATCCAGTATGAATCTATTTCAATTTGGAGAGAAAGATGCCAACAAGCTGTTGTTTACAGACGGGGAAAAGAAAAATCTGAGACATATTTTAGGTAACATTTGTTCAAGCTATTCTTTCTCTTCCTGTGACCCTCTATTTCAGATTTTCTGCATGCCACTCTTCCATCTTTCAGAGCCAGCGTACAAGCTGTTCTGTAATGCATTCCCATAATGTGTCAGACCAGAAAAGGAAACCTAGAGCGAGACAACGCAGCAGAGAAAGAACATCTACAGCCCACAAAGAGCTGCCATTTTCTGATAATTGGATTGTGGAGTGCTGAGCTATTCAGGCTTACCCCTAAAGGCACAAGTAGAAAGACTGCATTACCACAGTGTTATGGTAAACGTTGTTACACAGGTGCAGAAGGCTGGAATGTTTCTGACCCATACTTAAATCTGTCTTATATTAGGCCTAAACAAACAAACAAACAAACAAAAAACTTTTAGTGTTGTAAATATGTGAATCCTTATGATTGACAGACTTCAGCCTTCTTCTATGTCATATGTAACTTTTAAGGTTCTTCAACCTGCCTGATTCTGTAGCATACGTAATATGATCCCCAGCTCTCAGACACCATATGAACCACACATTTGTACCACTTGACCACACAGCTGACATTGCTTCTCTGCTTCACTTACACATCCCACAATCCTGTGCTGCTTCACTATCACTACCACATTCCCAAACATAACACAAAATGGCCAATCCCCTCCACTCTCTCTCCCGAAACACATATACAAACAGCAACCTGATAGAAATATTGGTTGTTAACTTTGACTTAACGATACCGATAAGTCTAGAAAGTAGATTTGTTGCCTAGATGTCATTATTAGTGAACAATAATGCAATAAAGAAAGGTGTTGCTACACTTGTCCAAACTACAGAGTCTTAGGTGGACTACAAAGCCGACCAAGTTACCAAAAACTGCCTGTTTGCTGCCTGATGAGGCGTCTGATCTTATGTAACAACCACATTTTCTAATAGCTTGTCAAAATCCATGTATGTTTAAACAGAGGAGACAAATATCTTTATTGTTTGCATGATCACAGGGTCACAGTCCAATAATTATCTTCCTTCAAATGTTTAAAAATAAGAATTGGAAAGAACAGTCGATGGGAATTTCACAGAAAAATATACTTCTTTTCAGTAATTCCACTTGACTGAAGACATGAAAATATAAATATATTTTAATGTCAGAAAAAAAACTGTATCTTCATATATTTGGTGTCAATACATAGTTTTAACTAAGTTGAAAAAAATTTACTTAGTGTTGTGGACCTAAATAGGCCTGTGAGAGGGCAGCAGTAAAATAGGTCAAGACAAATGGAGGGTAAGGGCTGTCTGAACCAGTGTAATACAATGCTTGTTCAGACTGTATGCATGAGGACATAATAAATTCAATGTCTTTCATAGACAGTTTTATAAGCAACGGCAAAAAACAAAATGAAAACAGTCAGTCAGGTCCTGTCTGGTCTCTTTCACAATACAATATAATGGTCAGTTAAATTTTGTGGTGTGCCTAACAGATCATTCTTCACTGTAAAGTTGTGTTTTGCAGAGGTAATTGGTCCAACTGATGATAACATGGATCTTATCCACTGCAGCAGAAGCAGCAGCAGCAGCAGGTTTAGAGAGTCAGAGTGCTGCTGACACAGCACACCTGAACACCAACCCACTCCACTAGATGGAGACCTTTTCTGTCTGCGATATCTGAGACAGATATCTCAGTAAAGGCAGAAAGATGTGCTACAACAGGGGTGACTGTTCATGTTATGATCTAATAGGTAGGAGCAAACAGTCAATATAGACTCATACTTAACAAATCCATGAATATTAATGGTTGAAAGCTATTTTGAGATTAATATTCTTGTCTAGAAAGCATATAATTGCCCCCTGGATTGGATAAAAAGACAGTGAGAACTGTGCATCTATGCTAGCAGCTCCACAGAGACTGCTGGAGTTCAGGAGGGTCAGAAGCTCAAACCAGCAGAGCAATCGTGACACAGTTTGGCGAAGGCTGAAGTCTGAGTCAGCAGAGAAGGGAAAGATAAAAATTATTAAGTTGATCTGATAATTTGCTAATTCATGTTAATCTTGGACTTCAAATCATGACGAAAAAAACTAACATATAAAACATCCAGTCATTTCTGGGGAGCAAAAAAAAAACCTTCTAGAAAATGAACAGAAGGACAGCAGAACTCCAGCATTGTGTGACTATTTGAGGTGTGAAAGCTTACATTAAATGCCTGATTAATCTGCAAATGCTCATTTTTGCCCACTCACTGAATCCACACTAACAGCCTACCACACGTGGGTGCAGGGGCACACTACCCGTGCATGCATATGCAACATTAAACTCCATTAAAGATGCTTCAACAGGAAACTCCATCCATGCACACAAACCTTTTGGATAACATACTGATTTCCTTTTAGCCTTTTTGGTAAAAAAAATAAAAATACACATAATGGTTAAACGTACATACTGCAAACACACACAAAAATAATAAATTGACTTCAATTCACTGTCCTCTAGGTGCACTTAATTTTCAATGCATTATGTCAAAGCTTTCATCATAAATTACTGTTCTTGTCAATATTCAAGAGAACAGTAGGTTCTTTTGCTTTACTGTCACATTAAAATGTCAATTTCATGTTCATTTACAGATTTATTATTCCATGCTGGAGGGCTTTCTCAAGTACGCTCATGCTTTCATTTTCAAATAGACATGTCTCAGACTTTAAATTGAGGTAGTGTTCCTTGTCAAATCTTGGACCAACCTTGATACTTTTATCTTTGAGCCAAAGGGAAAAAAAAGAAGTTATATCAAATGCTTACTTCACTCCAACATGAAGTAAGCATTGCATTAAGCTGATTTAAATTGCCTTGCAACAATGGAGAAAGTAACACGATACCACTGCTCAGTAAATGGTGCCTTGTAAAATCTTTTAAACCCCTGAACTTTTCCGCATTCTGTCACAAATATAGATTTCCTTTGCCATATTAAATATGAACAATGTCCAATGCAAATAAATGCATATCCATTTCCTCCATATTTTATGTAATTAGGATAATTAATTTATTTTCATCTTGGTACAAATACAGCTGCTGTTTCAAGGCCCCAAAACTTTACAGAGAAAATTAGAGAGAAAACACTGGACAGTGTAGGTGTAAAGTTGTGGAGAAGTTTTAAACAGGGTTAGCTGGGAAGACAATATCTGAAGGTTTGAACATTTGAGCCTTTGGAACAGCTACAGCCAGGACAAGGTTGTGTACCTAATGTGACAGGCTGGGTGAGGGGAATCAATCAGAGAAGCAGCCAACAGGCTGATGGGAGCTCTGGAGGAACTGCAGCTATCCCAAGTTTAAGTGTGAGAATCTTTTTAAAGGACAAATATCAATATTGCATTCCACAAACTGCCATAAAGATAAATAGTCGCGATAAAATGTAATGTGGCAAAATGCAAAAAAAAAAAAAAAAAAAAATGTTCAAGGAGTAATACTTTTGAGCTGAATATAACTTTCCTATTTTCCATCAAATATAGAGAATGAATTTCTGTTTTTCTTCAAGACAAAATGCCCTTTCTGGTCATGTGAAGATCCTAAAACCAGCCTGCCCACCCAAACACACTGACGGTGCATAAACCATTAGACTGCAGCAAGCAATATCAAACCAAAGGCTGATTAATAAAGATAGCACAAACAGCTTTGCAAGATGTGCTCCTCCTCCTGAGAGCCTTTCACTCAAACAACCTTGTAGTAATAATGACCCAACCTTCTGGTCCTAATCCCCTTGTGCTGAGCAGAAAACACCTTCTGGCCAAGTGCTGCTTGACAAGCTGCTCTCCCTGCGCGCAGGGGAAAGGGGAGGGAGGCGATAAGCTCAGTGGACCTGTGCAAAAGGTCACAACACATCCATTCCTGAAGACAGAAGGGATTTTCAGAGACACCTACTTGTTCTCATGGACAGTCTTTTGTTATTAATGTGCTAAATTAATCAAATGGAACATGGATCTTCTAAAGGAGCATTAGAAAAGGTGTTGCCCACGTCTACCAGAGCAGATGATCCACGCTTAGGTGTTTCCCTCCTCTCAGCTGATTTTGCTGCGTAAAGACAACATTGCGCCTTTTTCCCCCCTGCACCCCCCTTCCCTCACGTCGCAGCCCTCACCCCATCCATCGGAATCACGTTCACCTATTGACAGGTTCGGTGACAGGCAGAATCTTTAAGCACAACATAATCCTCTCAATATGATTTTCGCAACGATTCAGAGTTGACACCTCGCTTTAAGAACGGGGATGCGTCGGTGAGGCTGACTGCGCTCCTGCGATTGTCTATTTTTAATGTCTTTCCGTGGGCAGGTTGGAGCTGCTGGGGCAATGCGCCTACACGCTGCCTATGCAGTAGCATGTACCACTGGACATTACGCAGAGCAACACCGGTGTTGTTTTGAACACGGGGTTCACTTTTGCACCTCACAATTAGTAATCAATTATCCACAAGCAGGCTGCATAAGTGCACCCATAAAAGAATTACATCCTATTTGTCTGGATTTTTTTTTTTATTAAAATCCTAACGGGGCCATAAAGAGGGAGGGGGAGTGGGGGGGTCTCTTTTCAATTTCACTTGGCCCGGCGACAATAGCGCACTGAGAGGCTTTGCTTACCTTCCCACCGTTTGGTTGGCGAGCTGTCGCATTCGATTGAACTGCTTCTTCATCTTGTATTTTCTGCCTTAACACCTATGTGAGAAAATATTCCGCATTATTTCTCTCAGCGCGTCGGTCCGTCCTCCAAAGAGGCGCAGCACAAAATCCTCTCTTCCATATCTTCCGTCCGTCATTGCAAACAGCCGAGCGCGAAATCGGACGCCACGGTTACATCTTTTTCTGATGATATATTTATATATTTCCCCTCCACATCAATATTCGCCCTGCTGCCTGCGCAAGGATGCTGGAGCAATTCACGATGGGCACACACACACATGCACACGCACACACACACAGGCTGAGGGCGACAGCAGTGACAAGAAGCGGCTGCGCAGCAATGCCTTATGGGAAATGTAGTAGAAAGTTCCTCCAAATGAGCAGCGCTACCAATCGCTTGGTTTATAGAAACGCTCAGATTTTAAAACATTCGCATGATTATATATTTATTAGGTACCTTTAAAACCTATATAAGTTCACAAATGCTAAACCAACGCATGACCTGACATACAAAGAATTTGATAGATTTATTGTGGTTTTACCATTTCAACCAATGTGGAAAGTTGTTTTATTATCTCGCATCTTTATAAAATCAGGGTTGTATTAACAAAAAGTAAAACGAAACAAAAACCTTTTTGTTTTTGTTTTTGTTTTGACCGAACCTGGATAGCAGCCCCATCTAGTGGCATTTACTTGCTAATGCAGATACTCAGAATACAACTTTTTTTCAGCTCATCGGTTGTGAATTGTACTGAAGATAGTATGTTTTAAAATATTGTTAGAGCGACTGATACGTCGTTCTAACAATCAAACGTTGTGTGTCAACAAAATTTGTTTAGGAAAATAAATATTAAGGAAAAAAAAAACAATAAAATGTTGACCCAATGTTAATTTTACAGTTTTAAAACATTTTTATTTTATTTTATTTTATTTTTGGAGGATTTTTGTGCGCTGCTTTTCTGCAAACTGTCCAGAAGAGGGCAGTCGTCTTTTTTTTTAAACCACAAAACTCAACACGACAATGAAAATCCTCAACATCAGTGACAAAGAAAAGTTTTTCAGGTGGGAACTTTCTGACTATTTAATACATATTTAATATATAAAATTTTATTTAGATAATAACAAGTCACACTGAACTTCTGGGAGTAATTTTACCTGACGACTAGAAAAGCAAGCAAGTGAAAACAGATCTGTACGTCTGTGTCTGTGTTGTTGAAGCAAACACCAATCTGTGAAAATGTCAATCAAAAATATAAACCACTTCAAAATGTCATAACAAAACTGCAGCTGATTTCATCATGTATCAGTTTGTGTATATAATTTATTTACATTGCCATAAAATGCTTCTTCCTATAATGTTAATCACCGTTTCATTATGCATTTATTTGCATTGGACATTGTTATTTATATACCATCTATATTAATAGAAGTGCTGGAATCAGGATGTTACAAGAAATGTTTTGGTCATGCCTATTTAACACAATGCGCTGCTGTCTGAACTGTGCTCAGGACAGAGGACTTACAAACCCAATTCAGAGGCAATACCCTCTAGGTCAGAGTCATGAGGTCATCATGGACCAACAGGTGGGCTGCACACTGAAGCCATAAGGTTTCAGGGGCCTCCAGGGGGTAAATGATACAGAGCAATGACTGTTTCTACCCTCATTAATCTCCTAAAGCTGGAAATTGAGAGGGGCAGGGGAAACCTTCAGCCTTGATCTCAACCCCTGGACCCTGTCAGATCATTTGTTTTCATTAGTCCCCACTCAGATGAACTGGCCAGTCCCAGCCAAGATACCCACCCTGCCCCCTTAAGTAGGGAGGATTTCTGCAAATATCTCTTGTGGGCTTCTTCAACCAAACCCAACTTCTGGCACTTATAGCTCCAGTCAAGACTGTTGCAATGGACATTTCTAAATCATTAAAGGGCTGATCTTTGTCCATGCTCTGCAGCATCAATTGTTTGCCTTTTAGTACGAAGACAGCAAACACTAACCTTAAGTTATGCTAAAAGACAATGTTGATTTGCATTTTTACACAGCAGTTGGAGCAAAGCTCTGATGTTCATTAGCTGTTTGCTTCACACTACTAGAAAATAGGATTGCATCACAGGTGTTTATCTGTTTGTTTTTGACACCAGCTTGAATGACTGTGTTTCTTGTTCTTTCATGCTTCTTCGCTGGGGAGCTGGGAGCTAATTGGATTCCAATTTGCCTAATGAAGCCCAGGTCATAGCCTCTTCCAGTGACCCTTGGCTACTATTGATATGATATATAGGTTACAGCTGTCGATCACTGTCCCCAGCCAGTAACCCGTATGTTTTTTCTGGCTTTTCTTTACAACAACATGTAGTTTGTTTGGTCATGATGGTGCATGATAGTCCTGCTCAAAACCAACAAAGGTGCAGATCTGGGAAAGACTTAATGGGATATTGTGAGCTCAGGTTAAAAGTTGCACATTCCAACAAAAGGAAGATTGGTGGGATGGTCACCTCATGCTTGTGTTTTATCTTCAAACACATAGCATCATATTACCCTGATCAATCAGTTTAGGGGATAGGTGGGAGTTACGACAAGCCTTTGGTCTGTCATCTAAGAGAAGTGTGACATATTAATCAAGGAGGCCTGAGCTGGAGAACTTGAAAACCCTTCATTCAATAAATCATTAATGCAACCTTTTTACATTTTGTTATGAAACCAGCACACACTTCAGACATAAAGTTGTGCAGAACCATGAAGTGGAAGGAAAATAATACATGTTTGGCTATGTAAAGATAAGTATGACACAAGTCTATATTCTTCTAAAGAGGTACTCTCCCTCAAGATGTAGAACCACCCAGAAAAAAACACTGAAGTTTGATGTTGTAATGTAACAAAATGTTTCTTCAACCAAACCCAAAGTTCAAGAGGTATGGATATTATTGAAAGACACATTGTAAGTTATTTCTTAAAATATTCTTGTTTCTCACAGTCTGAGTCTGAGAGCTGAAACCAGACATGCAGAGTCTTTTTAAAGAGTTATCTGGGGCCAAAATACATCCCAGCAAGCCCACCTTCAGTCCTAATTTAAACAATTGTGACATCTGAGGGACAGAGGAATTACACGTCTAAACTAGGGACTGTTTTAACATGTATCAAGTGGCACAAAATGATGGTTATCACAAACACCTTTCAGACACACTAAATGCAGGTCTGCTTGCAAATGGAACTAAAATTTAAAGGCTGAAACTGGGTATTAAACTCTGGGATGGTGTTAAAGCAAAAACACTAGACAATTCACCAAAGGACAGAGAAAAGTCCTGCTTTATACCAAAGAGGAGACTTTGTTGGTTTTCATGTTAAGATTCATGGACTCTATTTTTACAGTAAAGTGATGATGCGATTTGACATAATGGTGCTGACATCAGCTATTGAGGTGTTATCTTTCACAGGACAAAAGTCAGATGTTCTAAGATATAACTATGCTGAGATAGATAATGACTGTGTCTGGGCAGGAGTTGCCTTTAAAGCGATATGAGGTTAGAAACCACAAAGCTTGTCAACAATGTCAACAATGTTCCCAAATCAAATTGAATCAGGTTGCAGGGCATTTATGATAATGTATGAGAACTCAAACTACAGACATATGCCCCACAAAACCAATCGCAACTCAAAGTATTAAAACTGTAAAGAATATTGGAGAGTACGCATGGTTAAAATTTGAAAACACTGTAATGATTTGGTTTTGTTGTATGCTCAAACTGACAACTAAACCTCTCATTCTGATTACTGAAGTGACAGTTATAACTCTTCAATATTATGGAAAGAAACTTGATTATGTTTTACCACCTTACTGTGATTAAAAGACTTCATATTTCACTGCGGTGACATGTTTTTGCCTCTGGCTGTTTCTTTGATGCAATAAGACTTATTATAATACAAAGTTCCTGGCATGCTACTGCTCCCTCTTTTGAAAGCCAATTTGGTGACTGTTGGGGTGTGGCAGGGAGAATCTGTTAAGATAGAAGCTGATGCATGTATAAACTTGCAAGCATATTGAATAAATGGTGGGTTTGGCTTGGAGAAGACTGAATTCAGAGCAAATGCCAGCTGCATCTGGGTATGCATGCATGGAGATTTGTAGAAGTTTTGAATTTTTATATTTATAACTTTGTATGATATCTCTCTTACCCAGATCTGCCATCTTTGATATTGAGTTCCCTCAAACATTTCCAGGAGGTTTCCTTTATTTGTGCTGAGTTAAAACCTTTTTGCAATTTAGACTGAGATGCAGGGCACTGGTTGATTTAGTATTTGTTTTACTGTTTTATGTTGAACCGAAGAAGCAGATGGGCTTTATAATAGTAAATAGGTGAAGAGGTTTGGATTTATCACCATTGCACCAAAATCTGTTTCTGTTTGAACCATTATTATTAGTTATTTCTGCACAAAAGTAAACAAAATAAACAAAATAAAAAAAATCTTGGCTTTAACTAAAAGAGGACTTAAAAAAGTAATTTAGCACTCAGTTCATACCACAGTGATGACAAATAGCTCTAGTAAAGTCAGCAGTCGGACTATCAGTGGTTTCAGGTAAGGACATGCATTTCTTTTGATGTTTTAGTGTTTGTGCGTCCTCTGTCAGCAGCAAATCTTTGCCAACATACACAAACTGTTTTATTAATTTAATGACTTTAGAAATTTTTGATTGGTCAAATGGAACTCTTTGAATTAATTGGAAACATTCACACACAAACATGCACTTCTGTTTTGAAGCATTTTAGAGATCTATAAACGAAAGACGGGATTCATTAGCTCTGCATTCTTATATTGTTGCAGGTGTAAGTCCACAAACAACAAAAAACAAATCCTCGTACCGAAATGTCTTCCTGCAGATTGCTCACACATGCACACTCACACACACCGGACATTTGATATGAGACCAACATTTGGAAACTACGGCCTTGAGGCAGCCTTGGCATTTCATAGATCTGAAAGGCAGATTGACCTCAGATGCTTAAGAATTTATGATGCAAGCTAAGCAACCTGAGGGACCAGACAGCTCCATGATGTGGTGGCAGCCACTTGCAATGGAAAGATTTACACTCAAGATGTTGCCTGCATGCTTTTGGTCGCTTGTAAACTATCAAGAAAAGGAAAAAGGAAAAACTGTGTTTTCTTGCACAGACTTTTAAGGCTGTATGTTCTTTCATTTGTTACAGTCTGATCCTTGAGCAATAAGAGACAGTTCTGCCAAAAGGACAGTTAAAAAGTCCACAAACTGATTATTATCAAAACTTAACTCAT